TGTGATGCGGCGATACAGACAAAAAAGAAGGTTATAACGAGCAGAAAAAAGAGAACCTTGTGTGGCTGGAATGATTATGTAAGAGAATCTCATCAGGAGGCCAGGCTTAACTTCCAAGTATGGACCCTCCATGGTCGGCCCAGGGCGGGATTCACTTACGACCGTATGTGTGAGACCCGTAGAGTGTACAAAGGACGACTAAAATGGTGTCAAAATAATCAGGAGCAACTAAAAATGAACATGATTGCTAAGCACAGGTCTGATAAAAATTTTAGTCAATTCTGGAAATCTACGGGGAGTTGGATGTCAGGCGTGGCCTCCCGGCGAGTGTAGCTGGTAGGGGTGACCCAGGGGAGATAGCAAATTTGTTTATGCAGCATTTTAAGGTGCTGTCTCCACTGGGTGCCTCCGCTGGGTCGACCGACACTGGGTCTGTCGTGCAGGGTGAGGAGCCTTTGCTAAGATTCACAGCGAGTGAGGTAAAAGCTGTTATTAAAAATATGAGCAGAGGTAAATCTCCCGGACATGATGGGCTCAGTATCGAGCACTTAAAGTATGCAGGACTGCATTTGCCAAGGGTCCTGTCTATGTTTTTCACTATGTGCATTAGTCATTCCTATCTACCAGATGATTTAATGAAAACAACGGTGGTGCCCATAGTGAAAAACAGGACAGGTGACATTTCAGACTTGAATAACTATCGCCCAATTTCTCTTGCGACCACGATAGGTAAAGTATTGGATAGTATGCTTGAATCATGCCTAGAAAAATATCTCAATCTCCATGATGCACAGTTCGGGTTTCGGCCTGGACTCTCAACCGAAAGCGCGATTCTGGCTCTCAAGCATACTGTCCAATATTACACTGAACGTAAAACACCGGTGTTCGCGTGTTTTCTGGACCTCTCCAAAGCCTTCGATCTCGTTTCCTATGATGTGCTTTGGAGGAAGATGGAGGACAGGGGAATGCCAGCTGAACTATTAAAAATCTTCCAATATTGGTACAGCAATCAGACCAATCAAGTTAGGTGGTCCAACAGCTTCTCTCAGGCATACAGGTTGGAATGCGGCGTGAGACAAGGGGGACTATCGTCTCCAAAGCTTTTTAACCTGTATGTTAATGATCTGATAGTCGAGCTCAGTAGCATGCGTGTCGGCTGTTGTGTGGGGGATGTTTGTGTGAACAACATCAGCTATGCGGACGACATGGTGCTGCTGGGCCCGACTGCGAAGTCTATTAGGGAGATGTTGGCAGTCTGTGAGGTATATGCCGCATCACACGGACTAATTTATAATGTTAAAAAAAGCGAGTTCATGGTCTTCAAGACCGCCGGTAGGTGTCCAGAGTCATTTCCAGCTATTTCGCTAAATGGCATGAGTGTAAAACAGGTGTCTCATTTTAAATACCTTGGACATATACTTGCCGACGACCTTAAAGATGATGACGACGTCGAGAGGGAACGCAGGGCTTTGGCGGTCCGCGGGAATATGCTGGCCCGCAGGTTTGCCCGCTGTACGGACCAAGTAAAAAATACGCTTTTTAAAGTGTATTGTCAGGGTCTGTACACGGGCGGCTTGTGGTTTAGCTGTTCGCAAAGGTCGCTGAATTCCCTTCGCGTCCAGTACAACAATGTGTTCAGGATGATGTTGAGACTACCCCGGTACTGCAGTGCCTCTGCAATGTTTGCTCTATCCCATACAAGCTGCTTTAATGCGGTCTTGCGGAGAAAGGTAGCATCTTTGGTTAGTAGGCTCCGGGGTAGTGGCAACAGCATTCTGAGAGTTGTTGCAAACGACCACAGAGCGCCTGTACTGAGGCATCTCGTACGGACAATGATTCCGCACGAGATGCCTCGTAAGTACATGACATTTTAGTTTCTAAGTAATTTATAATTATAATTTTATACTAACAATAGTCTATAAGTTTGTTTCTTTATTTTTTTACTAACACCAATGGATCCTGTTATCTGAGAAAATAAATAATTTGAATTTGAATTTTTGAATAAATGGAGTGACTTCTTTTGGTTCTCCGGTAAAAATGGGTTTCCGCAGGGCTCAATACTTGGGCGTTTCTTATTTCTGATTTATATTAATGATCTGCCATTCTTTGTTAAGGACCATTGCGAAATAGTATTGTTTGTTGATGACACATCCTTGATTTTTAAAACAGACAGACATGACATTAACTATGACCATATCAATGATACCCTCTCTAAGGTAGTTTATGGGTTTAATGCTAACAATTTATTGCTTAATGCCAAGAAGACAAAATGTGTTAAATTTGAATTACCTAACGTAATATCGACTAGTCCACGCTTAGAAGTAAACGGAGAAAAGTTAGACCTTGTCAATAAAGCAGTCTTCTTGGGAGTGACCTTAGATAGTAAACTTCAATCGTTTCCAGCAGATTAAGATCCGCTGCATACGCAGTCCGCAGCTTACAGATGTTAGTACTCCTAGACTAGTTTACTTTAGTTACTTCCATAGTATAATGTCCTACGGGATTCTCATGTGGGGTAAAGCGGCAGTATATTCAAACCATTTTTGTATTGCGAAAACGAGCGATTCGTTCTGTGTACCTTCTAAGCTCTCAGAGAAAAGTTTAAGGAGACTGGTATCATGACTATGGCATCACAGTGCATTTACTCAAATATTTTATATGCCCGTAAAAATATACATAATTTCACTGAGAAAGAAGATATCAATAATAATAACCTTAGAGCTAAGTCCAAACTCAAGGTACCACGAAATCGTTTAACCAAGGTAAACGCCTCTTTCATGGGGAACTGTATACGTTTTTACAATAAGATTCCGGAGCATATATTAAGTTTATCATTTCCTAAAAACTACATTAAAAATATTTTAATCGAAAAGTCATATTACAAAATTGAATATTACGTGTTAGATAAAAATGTATGGGAAGACGACACGGCTCCAGAATCCACACCAATTTGATTCAAAATGTATTCCATAGCATTTAAGTTTATTTGAAAAGAGCAATCCCTAGAGTTTCTTGCTCATTCTCTCAGTGAAGTCAGTGTAGTGAACGAGCAGTAGCTTAATGTAATGTAATGTAATGTAAAATGTGACGTTTTCAAGTGTAAATTTATTTTACCTATGGAATAAATTATCTTTGACTTTGACTTTGACTAATACCACTCAGTCCGTGACCATGGGATATGTAAAGAGCCCGAACCGTTGTGGTTTGTTTCAAAAACAAAGAAACCAATACCTAAACGCGATTTGTAGAACCGAAAAAATAGTTTCATTTCCAATGTGATGTTTAGTAGCCTAGAGCATATATGCTCTAAGTTTAGTAGATAGATAAACGCGTTTGATTGGTTTGGTTAGTGACTAGTGTGATTTCTGGTTATAAATAAGACCACCCCATATCAACCCACCATAAATGGCAAGAGCCTTGGGATAATCTAGAACTGCAACCGTCTTCCTATTCTGGCCATACAATATACCGGAATACAGATCTTACTTAGACGACTCTCGTGGTCGAGTGGCTTGCACACCGGTTTTCATGTTGTAGCATTTCGTGAGGTCCCGGGTTCGATCCCGGCTGAGTCAATGCAGAAAAACTTTTCTATATTATCTCGGGTCTGGGTGTTTGTGTTACCGTCGTTGGTTCAGATTTCCATAACACAAGTGCTTTAGTTAACTTATTTTGGAATCATAGTAACGTACTCGTATAATGTCTTAAGTGCCTCCGTGACCGAACACATTTAAATTTATTTCTCTCGTGAGTTTGGGTGTAATTTGTGGTTCTCTATGGGTGCGGGACTATGTTGAGTGTGTGCGTTATTATTATCTCTTTTTTAGTAGCAGTACAGCTCCGTGTGAAAGAGTTCGTCCAGGTTAGTACTGCCATCTTACCTATTTCTGCCGCCAAGCAGTAATGTCAGCATTACTGTGTTCCAGTTTTGAAGGGTAAGGGTGTTGGTAAAATTACAGGCATATGGGACTTGTCAACTTGTGACGGTGTTTCCTCCTTACACCGTCATCTCACCTCTTTGTATCGCCCCTCTCCTCTTGTATCTTATCATTTTTTTTTTACTTGTATTTAAATTTTAAATTTGAATTGTTCCATCTTCCTTCACTTTCTCATTTTGTTTTCGTACCACGGTCACTCCCAGCTCGACCGCCACAACAGTCAGAGCTGTTAATAAGCTAATTATGTGTAATAATTTATAAGTCTACACCCTTCATGTATCTATTTCTGTAATTCAGTTTCTCGGCCCATTTAGGGGTAAGTATAGGGAGTGTTTTATACTGTTATACCTGTTTTTTTACATTTACCCTTATATTGTTACAGCCTTCTTTAAACTTTACTTCTTTAATAAATTTTGTGGACCGGAAGTTTCCCATTTCATTGCCGTGAACCAGTTCACGGCTAGTTAGGGTTACAACCCTTTCAAACTTATGTCTCAGGGTGACAGACGCAACTGCAAAGCTCCTCTAATCTTTGCGGTTTAAAGTTCTGAGTGGCACTGCAACTGTTAGGCGTGTCGCTTACCACCATCACATCACTTGGTATTACAAAAAAAAAACATTATGATAGATCTTTTCAAAAGTTGAAGAAAATTGTGGTTCTACCCAGCCGCAGAAACCGCTGCGCCTAAATCTACTTACCGGAGAAGTAAGCAAAGACAACCGCACTCGGACACATCACTAAAAACTAATATTAGTTTATTGAATATCATAATGTTTTTACTACTATGACATTCATGTATTTATTTGTGAAAATCATTGATGCAATAATCGAACGCAAAGAAAAATCCCCTGGAATTTCACTAGACTTGAATCGAACAAGTGTCTGTTGCCCACCAAGGCACCATACGGTCTGTTGTCTTTGTGTCAAATATAACGTTCGAATGTTTAATAAATAAAAATACGATTTCAATTTGAAATTGACTATATTTATCATCACATTGAACAAAAAATAAATACAAAAATATGACACACGAGTAGCTTGATCGTGTACATTGCTGGCGGCCTACATTATGTCTGGTAGACCCTAAGATTGGACACATTTTGTCTACAAGAATTTGTGAAGGTGAAAATCATGGAGGTTTGTCAAATTACGTTTTTTTGTTTGCGAGAAAAGGGTTGTGATGTCCATGTCATACCACTTCAATATAAAAAAAAATTAAATAGTCAAGTCTTTATAAAACATTTAAAAAAAAGCTTTCTGAGTCAGCTTATGTTTTACGTAAAAATAATATTTGCCTAATAAAACAGATGTCGCCCTCACTACAAAGGTATAAATTAAAACTTTGGAATTACATAATAATCTTTTTTGGATACTAAACCCCGCGAATTAGATAGATACATGTTCCATATTAAATGTCAAGGACATTCCAATGTATACAAGGTTTTTATTTAGGACGAATAATCACATTTAAAAAGATATCTTTACAGTGTTACAGTTAATTTATTATTATTTAAAAATGTATTTGTATGATTCGGTAAAATGTTTTGTATTTTATCTTGTGCCAAGTATTATGCTAAGTCCTAATACCAAATTATGCTATTGGATAAATAATTTACTACAGATATGTATATAAAAAACGAAATATTTAATGTTGACGTTTGAAAACATTTGCAGTGACTGGACAAGGAAAGTTAAAAAGAATTTGTTATAAGATCTAGTTGGGCACTAACGTTACTTAGAAAGAGTTGCAGCCTGTTTCTTTGCTTTTACTAGCTCTACTAATTCCTTATACCGTTTCATGCAGTCTTTTTTAGAACGATTAGGTATGCATTCGGCAATCTTATCCCATCTCTCGGGCGTACTGACAGGGAACGTTTTAATGGCTTGCTCAAGGAGTTCTTGCTCAGTTTTTGTCCAGGGACGGTCATCTTTCACTTCTTTTTCTGGTTTCACAACTTCACCATTCACTTTAGGTTTTGACGTTCCATTAACTAGCTTTGTACCAGGATCATTCTTTGATATACCGCTGTCATCAATATGGTTGAGCATTTTCTTCTTCTCTTTCTCAAATGTGTCAAACGCCTCTTCATTGGCTGCTTTCTTTAAACTGCTTTTAGAAAAGTCAGAGCTCTGTAAATCTTTAGCCTTATTCAGGACTTCTTTTGCATTGAATCGCCTATCATCAGTAAATGTACAGTGTTGATTTAGAAAATTAGCTACAACATCCCACCTCTGGTTGGTGCCGGCAGGAAATAAATTAACAGCCTTGATTAACATTTGTGTCATGTCAACAGTCCATTCCAAAGGCGTCTTCAAAGCAGCCCTTTCTTTCGCCTTCTGTTCTTCCACTTTCCGATGCTCGAACAAGGCTTTGCGTTCAGCTTCCAGCTTTTCTTCAGTCTCTTCAACAGTTTTGATAAATGCATCTCTGCCTTTTGCTTCCAAGTCTCTCATGAAGTCCTGTAGTTCTATTACTTTCAACATTTCACAGATTTTCTCAACAGCAGCCATATGTGATACTGCTTCATCATCATTCTGCGCATAGTAGTTGTTAGCTTTGCACATGTCTCTTAAAGCTTTACGTTCTTTGCGTAGGTTTTTCTTCTGTTGTTCTCGCTCAGCACGGGCAGCTTCCATTCGCTGTCTCTCAGCCTCATCAGCTTTCTGTTTCGCGAGTTGAGCTTCTTTCATTAGACGTTCCTCCTCTGCTTTCTTGGCTTGCACAGCATCCTGGAAAATATTGGTGTTTTATTAGGATACAGCAAAAGCAGTTTTTAAATAAGTACAACAGTAGTAATTATTTATGAGCTCGATACTACAAGTATATTAAGTATAAAAATCAGTACTTTTATTTAAATTTACTTTCTGCCATGGCACCTTTGGAAATAGTAACCCTATGCTTTGACGAGAATTTCACAAGTCAATATCAGCAATGTGTACATATTAAAGGTCAAAAATGAGTATTAAAGTACTTTAATATCTAACTCAATACAATATTCTTCATCACTTCTCTTTGAAGAGGATAAGTATTGAATGCGTTACAGTGAAATATGGTAGCTGACCTGTCTAGCCCTCTTAGCAGCTAACTTCTTATCCTTATCCTCTTGCTTGAATCGCTGTATCCTTGGATCATTTGCATATGCTGTGTCCACCAGACTCCTTACCCTGGCCATCTCTTCCTTTTTCAATTTAGCTCTTGCAGCTTTATTTTGCTTCTCTATCCATCTCCTCTCATCTCTATCTGCCCCCCTCTCTTTCTCCTCCTCATCAAGGTAAGAAAACTCCCTCCAAGATTCAAACTCATACCAAAATGCATAAAACCTTTCTACTTGTTCTCTAGGACTATTTTCATCACCTAGTAAAGGCACATGCTTTTTCTCTGACCATCGGGAGTTAATCTCAAAGTATTTAGGGACTATCTTGAAGAAACCTTCTTTCTTGATCTCCACCTGAGTTGGTACATTGTCATCTACTAACGGATCGACCGAGTCATAAGATCTTCGCTTCGTTGGTGTGCCAAGGATCTCGTAAGCTTTTGTAATACAAGTGAAGTAGTCGTCGTCGCTGCGTACCTCCTCGCCTTGCGCTTTACGCTTATCAGGATGATGCTTCAATACTTTTTGGCGGTAGGCTCGCTTGATATCGTCATCAGTAGCTTTGTAACGCAAATTCTTCATACCTAACACAGCGTAATGGTCCTGATTCTTCCAGTCCTTAGGGTCCAGACTACGCAGATACTCAACATCATCGTCGAAAACCACTTCTTCTGCCTTTTCTTTAGAACCAGTCGTGTCAAACGATTCGTCCTCGCCGTGACATTTAATCCTGTAATAACGCAGGAACGCCGCCCCCGCACATTCTACTTTCTTCGTGACGACTACTTGCGGTATCGCCACTACTCGACTGTTGTTATTTGAGTCCCCCTCAGTCATTTTACTATTATTTAATCTACAAAATTTGTACCAACTGAGAACATAACCTGTGAAAGACGTAAACAGTCCCAATGTGACAAGTCACTGCCAATGCTCAAATATCACTACGCACTTCCAGAAATTATAAGAAAATCTACAAAACAAACTATGCTTCTAATCAGCACTAAAGCAAAGGTATCATAATTTACTAAGAAATAATGCGCGCGACAAAAAGTCCGACATTGTTCGAAGATGAACGAAACGAACGAATCAACGAATAGGTAACGAACGCTCCGAATGATGAACTGAATGAAGCAAGAATGTAGGATTCAACTTTGCGGCAGCAATGAACACTAGAGTGCGCGTTTAAACGGAAAGCACTTAAAAAGGTCTGCTTTTTAAAATAAGCGCTTAAGCTCGCTTTTCATTTTCAGCGTAAGCGTTGGTCACTGGTCAGTCCTATAGGTAGAGATGGGAAATACTGCTTATTTTTTTAAACGTTTAAACGTTATGCTTTTTTAAAAAAGCATGCTTTTTTAAAAAAGCGTGCTTTTTTAAAACGCTTTTTTACTTAAACGCTTTTTAGTTTGAAGCTAACAAAATCGTTTAGAAAACATTTAAGCGCATAGACTTTTACGTTAAAAAAGCTTGCAACGTTGTGTTGATAGCGAAAAGCAAAAGTAGACCACTAATAAGGGTCGTATTCCAGAACTCTACTCAATACTCAAGTCAGGATTTGAGTACGATTTAAAGCACTAGAAATCATACTCAAGTCCTTGCCATTAGGGTTGTATTTCCAGTGCTTGAAATCATACTCAAGTCGCAATGAGCAGCATCAAAACTTTTTTGCGATCCGAACATAGGTTGGTAATTTCTGCGCTACCAACCTAGCGGCAAAAATCAGCTGACCACAAATAAGTATATAAAGGGCATAGATGTATCTATTGTAAATGGGAACAGCATTTTTTTTCCATCCTCTAAAGGAACAGCTGACCCGCCAGTGGTGGGCCACCACTGTGTTTTCAACACGTTTCAAAACGAGCATTCCATTAAATTGTTAATTTATTTGATTCTGTAAGTAGTATAGTTGCAGTACGTTTCTGGTAAAGTGAAAATGGGCAGCGACATGGACTTTTTATACAAACCGATGGTTTTAGTAACCGGTTTCGGACCGTTCGCGAATCATCCCGTGAACGCAAGTTGGGAAGCCGTGAAACTTATAAACAAGGATGAATTAGAGAAAAGACTTAACATTGACCTTGTGTTACTGGAAATTCCTGTTACCTACGAGAATGTGGATGAGTTTGTGCCGGCGCTGTGGGAGACATATACGCCAAAGGTAAATATGTTTTCAACTGGGTTTCACTCGTCTAAATGAACCTTGCCATTTAGTACTGGGTAGCTTTGAACGTATAAATAAAACATTATTTGGGACCTGTAAAGGGCCCGAAACGTCGGTTTGTTTGAAAAAACAAATATACGCGATATAAATCCGGAAAAATTGTTTCATTTCCTATAAAACATTATTGATTCACACATAGACAAAAACTATTCCATTACCTAATACAGCTTTAAAAATCAAACACTGTTGAGACGTGATTGTAGTTAGGACGCTGAGTGAAAGGATTTAGTGTGTATATCTTTACTAATGTATACAAATATGTATAAACTTACATGGCGTTAACTGCCTCCGTGGCGGAACGGTTACCATGCCGGACTGCCACGCAGAGGTCCCAGTTTCGATTCCCGGGCCGGGAGAAATGTTTGTGTGGCTTACATTTATTTCTCTCGTGAGTTTGGGTGTAATTTGTGGTTGTCTATGTGTGTGTCCATGGTACCCGCGACACAGGGTTTCCCTAGTGCGGGGCTATGTTGAGTGTGTGCGTTATTTATTTATTTATTTGATTAAAGAAAATAGTATATAAAAATTCTTAATATAGAAGAAAAGAAATAAAACAAAAAAATTCTATATTCACCTCAATGCACCACTGGTGGAGCAAGGAAAAATTGCCTATCAGATGGAGTGTACCACTAGTGGGCACGCACGAAACCCACTCTGCTTTTAGAGATTGTTTTAAAATTAACTTTCCCACTATGTGTAACAGTCTAAATTTTAATAGTGCAGTTTAAAAAGTAAAAAAGTGTTCATTTTAAAAAAGAATTAGTATTATAGTGGCACCACCACTGGCCACATTAAAATCTGTCCTGTCGAGAGACAAATTATGGTTATTTTGATCATGATCTGAATGGTGGAAAATTTTATCAAGGGGCTTGCCTTGGGTTATCATATCCCAAAGACTGACAATGTTTTTCCATTAAATGGATAAGTTTATTCTTTGGCAAGGGTAGCTCTGCTAGTAGCAGCTCCTGTGGTCACCAGGGTGGTTGCAACTGAAAACTTAGCAAGGATTTTTAGAAAGAGAAATAAAACAATAAATAGTAGTAAGTCCTTAGCTAAATGTCACGTGTGTGAAATGTTTATATCAACTGTTTACAGCTCATGATCCATGTAGGGGTTTGCAGCTTTGCCAATGAACTGACTCTTGAATTGCAAGCACACCGCAAAGGCTACCAACGGATGGATTACTTTGACAAATGTCCCCCCAACCATGTCTGCACTGCGGAAGGAGCCATACGGATACAAACAAAATTGGATGTGGAACGGATATGCCAGCAGTTCAATAATGGGAATCAAATGAAAAATACTATTGCTGTAACTTCGAAAAATGCTGGAAGGTACATTTGCTAGGTTTTTTATAATCTAGCCTAGTAATCACTGCACATCCTACTAACAACTGGAGCTGTCCACAAGAATTTGCATTTAGAGTAAATAACAACAGTGCACACACTCAACATAGCCCCGCACTAGGGAGACCCTGAGTCGTGGGCAGTGTTGGGCAAAATTTAATTGTTCAGCCAAATAAAAATTGACAATTAATTAATTGTCAATTGCGAAACACCCACTCCCTAACCCACCTCTAACTCACCCCTTAACCCACCCCCTAATCCACCCACCCACAAATTAATTGCAATTAAAATCAGTCAATTGAAATCAATTGCAATTAAAATTAATTGCGACGTTGCAATTTAGTTTAATTGAATTGATCTTTTAGTCTGATTGAAATTTAATTAATTAACGCCCAACACTGATCGTGGGTGCCATGGACACACACATAGACAATAACAAATTACACCCAAACTCATGAGAGAAATAAATGTAGGCCTTACAAATATTTCTCCTGGCCCGGAAATCGAACCTGGGTCATCTGCGTGACAGTCCGGCATCGTAAACGTTCGGCCAATGAGACAGTGAAAAATAAGTGTATCAACTCTTTATTTCCTTTGGAGATTTTTCATTGAAAATTTAATAAATTCACACCACATAGCATGTGAGAATTTATGAAAATAAACTTATACCATTTATCATGAGTAATCTCATGTGTTGTTGGATGCAAATAATAGGTAAGTATTCCTTTTGTTTTAAAACTGTGGAACCATGTTTGTGTGCATCGTTGTGTACTTATACATAGAAAATGCAAATTTTATAGTCTTTATTGTGTAATACATTCTGTCATACAGCTAAATCATACAAAGGAAACAATTAAAAAATATTACAAACAAATAACCTTACCTCCTCCTTTTTTTGAAGTCGGTTAAAAAAAAAATAAGAATCAGCTATGATGTTTTTACCCTTTAAATCTTTATGTTTTGAAAACAAATTAATTCTAGATACCTAAGAATTTACATGTAAAATATGTAATAGAGCAATTGGCATCTTTGTCATAATCACGCCGGACGCCAACCATTCATCCATCCATAGAATAGGAAATACTATGTATTTGCAAAAGAAGACGTTATCTTAAGGAGAATAATTTATCTGGAGTTATGCTGTTGAGAAACCTTTGTTGTCTCGGTAAATATTTATTGTATAAATGTACAATAGAGCCATGTGTTAATTTTATCTTTAAGCTGCGTGACCAATAAGTGTACGGGAAAAACAGTGATTATTATTATTATTTATTAGTCACATGTAGACATGTGCGCCGCCGCGCCGCTGCCGCACAATGGGCTGAAAAAGGCCGGTAGTGGACTTAGCATTTTTAAAAAAAAAGTATTATTTTTTGGAATTTTAAATTTTGTGTTGGATTTGTCTATCGAATATAAGAAACTATTATTAATAATGTCTTTCAGATAACTTAGTATTTTCGGAGTTATTAATTTCCAAAGTTATTTTTGTATGAAACAAAACAAAAAAATGTGAAAATCTCCCAATTCTCAAATTTTCTCAAAGAATTGACTTAAGGTATGCATAGGACGTATATTTTTCCTATTTTAACGCCTATTCTCAGGTCTCGAATTTTCCCGATTTGGTCGCAATGTCAACTTTTGTTCTCTATTCCACACCACCCTAGAGGTTAAGAACTAGGTGCGTTTTTTTTTGTAGTGGTGTCCCCTTGAGGCCTAATCCACTGAAAACCTAATAAAATAAATAAAAATCACAATCACTGCTAGTCTCTGTTTTAATTCAATCATTGTCAGGGGTATCCACATTAACGAATGCTAAATTTTCCTGTTCGTCATCATTAAATGTCCCTGCCTGTTCAATAATTAATAAATTTTGTGCTTCTTCTGACAAAGTTTTATGTTTTCTGCGAAGTTTGTGGCGTTTTGTTGAAATAAGTGGATCAGAGCTAATCAACAAATTATTTAAAATATCTCTATTAGTAGCTTTTCTGCTGCATTTTCTGGAATGGTGTTGGCGGTACCTACGAAAGTCTTTATTTCTAGCTTCGGCAGCTTCTTCAGATAGCTGTCCAATTGGTATTAGACCGAAACTTTTAATGATAGCTGCACCATGCATAAGAATTTTATGAATACTGGAAGGTATATAATACCAGTTATATAAGTCCAAATACAGTTGCATAGTAGCTTGAGCATATTCGTGAAATTTGACTACCTCAATATGGTAGCCCGATGAAATTGCCTCTAAAATGATTGCAAACCGCCTAATTAACTCTTCACTGACACCAGTTATCTCAGCAGTCATGGTTGGATTTGCAAAAAATCTTCTAGCGGTGTTTCCGTAATTGGTGGAGCCGTGACTTTGTTTGACAACATCAATCAGAAGTCCCATTCTATTCTTGAAAGCGTCTTGTATGTTTTCCTTTCTGCTTTCCATGATGCACTTGTTGTCTCCCTTAACAGTTCATGTCTGTATCGTTAATCTATAAGCTATATGCAGAATGCATTCCATCATTCGTATCCAGCTGTGCAATGATCACAATCCGTATCTACAGAGATCTGGATTTGTCGGTTTTGACGCAATTAAGGGTAAATTATTCATCTCAGTTGGAGTAGCTTTACAAATGTCGCATCTCTGAGATGAAGTGACACATAGAATTGATGTTGCTTTTCCGTCTATCATTGTCATTAATAAAGAGTGTGAAATGTTTTTTTCTCCAACTTTTGTTTCCACTAAATTAGCAATCTCTTCCTCAATAGCACTATTTTCCCGCAGTATGGTTATTTTGTTTTCTTTCACAAATTCAAAAAAGATGGGACGACACCAGTATGATGAATTTGGTGAATCATTTTGCCAGATGACTTGTTCGCCGCAAACCAATTTGATTGGTACTAAGCTTCCCATGAATATGCTTGAATCATCAAGTTGACTTTCTATAGTTTCGTCGTCTGTTTGGATTCTTTGCTTGTAATTGGCTTGATTAGAAGCACCGTCAAATCCCCACTTACTGATGAGTGTTAAATCTTTACAATCACTATCCATGACGAGTGGCATCATTATTCTTCTTGTCGTTATATACAGTAGAGCTTGTAACTTTATTTTGGCCGAGGTATCTGTCACTGTGATAGCGTCTTTTGCTGGATAGCATTCCTGTTTCGCGTGTTGTACTTGATAATAGGATGGAAATATATTGCTGTCTTTTTCGTTAGCACATTGTCTTAATGTATTGTATTGCCACTTGGTTAGCTTAAGTGATAAAAACAACCCCAAAGCCTCATCCGCTGAAAACGCAGGTTTTGTTTTTTGAATAGATATGCACCTTTTAACTTTTTTCACATCTTGTGGATTCTCAAGTAAATGTTCTAATATTTCAGCAATCTCCTCATTCCCATCTGCATTTAACTGCTCAGAATATGCATATTTTATTTCGTCCGAAGACAAATGGAAGTTTTCTGCTCGTCTTTTTTTCTGTTTAGGAGCTAATTCACAAAAGGGCTTTGTTCGGTGGAGTCAAACTCAGTTGATGTACTGGGCACTGGGTGATCTTCATTACTGCCTATTAAACATTTAATAAAATCTGGCCATAAGATGTTTGCTTGTAACCATTGGCAATTTTTAGTTTTAAATACACTTTCTTTACTATTTGCGTTTTGCCATCTTCTATTTAAATTATAGCAAAATTTTGCACAAAACGATTTTAAAGTTTTCTCGTGTTCATCACTTAATTCGACTAAAAGTTTGGACCTTATCTCGGTGTATAAGTTATCATTATTTTTGATACTGCCACTGCCACTGTTTTTTAGAGTAACGAAGAGATCAAGGTTTGTCACTAAATCATGAAACATTTTCACAAACTTTTAACAAAACAAATAAATAATAGTTTGTAGGGGTAGTGTGTCTATTACGGTGGGTTCGAATGCAGCCGTACATTTTGTACACTGTTAATGCACCAAACACGTTACGACACGTCATAACTTGTTGTTGTTGTCGCATGCTCTTATTACTTGATTCCCGGAAATCAGCGTCAAAACAAATGACGTCATAGGGTGGTGAAAAATGTTGAACATTGATTTAAAAATTGTAAAAAGCTTTTATAACATTTTTTCAAACAATTTCCTCACATTAGAATTGATCAAAAACCCACAATCTTCTGCTAAGAAAATGCACGAAACAAATATAAAAGAAAATTAAAAGCTTCGCTTCAGGTACCGTGAAACAAAATAGTTTTTATATGCGGCGTAACGCTGCAGTATGTATTGAGATGCTTCAGTCAGTTGAGTATAAAATATTTTTAATTTTAATTTATTTAGAATATTTTACTATCATTCTTCATGGATTGCTAAACTAAAAAATCATAACTTTTCATACAAAATTGAAATGGCTAATTCTCCGAAACTACTAGTTAAATAAAAAAAAGTCAAAGAATAAAAACGATTTTATCCCTTAAGTCCCAACCTTGCATATTCAGCCCACTGTGCGCCGCGCGCCGCCGCCGCGCCGCCGCGATTTTCCTCGCGCCGCCGCCGCCGACAAATGCAATCGGCGCGTCGTTCAGTTCGATCAGGCTCTCCGATAGCACGCGCGCGCAAGCTTCCGTATTGTGTATGAGGAAATAGCGACGCCAGAAAATTACTTTTCTAATATCGAGTTCTTAGATTTTCGCGATTGTTACACATAGAAAATGAAACTATTTTTCCGGATTTAAATCGCGTATATTTGTTTTTTCAAACAAACCGACGTTTCGGGCCCTTTACAGGTGCCATGGTCACTGTTGACTGAGGTGGTACAGTTTTCAACCAGTTATGTCTAATAATTAAATATCTTATTTTTAATTTTACAAAGAAAACATTCCAATTTACGCTACATTAAGTTTTACAAATTATTTTATTTAATGAATTTTTATTAATTTTAATTTATTATTAATTATTAATAGAAATTAGAATAAACTGAAACATATTAATTAGTACTGCAGTCTTATGTCTGTTTGGGATTTTTCATCGTCGGTTTGTTTGAAAAAACAAATATATACGCGATTTAAATCCGGAAAAATAGTTTTACTTTTCTAAGTTAAACCTTTTTTTTTTAATAAAATGTAAGTTCGCATTTGACCTTCATCTTACCTGATGGAAAGTGACGATGAGGTCGACGATGGATGAATGCCTATTCACTTTCGCCATAAAAAGGTCCAAGTTATAACATAACGTTCAGGGAACAAGTCTGCAGGCAGGGAATTCCACTCCATAGCCGTTCGCCATATAAATGTGGAAGCGTAACGCTTCGTGCGAATCTTTGGAAAGTCCACAACATAGGTAACACCGTTATGTAATAGTAAGTACCTAAACCATTTCAAGCCAAATACGTTATCACATAAAATATACTAAAAAATTGAATCCTATCCCGTCACACACACTATAAAATTGATGATACCGACTTAGAGGAGCGATTTGGGTGTTGTTTTGGACAGTCGACTGAACTTCATCTCGCATATTGACACAATAGTGAAGAAATCTGCACGAACGATTGGTTTTATAAAGCGAAATACAAAGGTTTTTATTGCTCTGCATTCTCAGTAATTTTAAGTTTATGCGGCGGCGCCCAAACAATTGGACATACAAGCGCGTAAACGTTGATTGTACCTATTGAACGCTTATGAAGTTGTGTAAGATTTTTATTAACAAAAATGCATAAGTTTAAATATGCAGTCAATTTTGGTAAACTAAGAGGACACTGTCTTACAATGATGATGATATTCAGAAGGCCGCTACGATGTGTACCACTTTTTTGAAACCACAATTTTGGGAAATAAATATATTAATTCGAACGCCTTCAAGTTTTAACAATTCTGTATTTTTTTTGGCTAAATTACCTTGACATTAGTAATAATCACATAGTTTTCGGACAACCGAGATCTCGTAAAAATCCAATTAGTAGCAGGCTTATAAATTAGGCCCCTCCATGTTCAGGATGCTATTGCTACTGTCACGTATTTTTTTTAGAAGCGAATTTTCTTCCACAGCAGATATGGCTCCTAAGGAGTCACCCTAAAACCATTGTGGTATTGGGTAGATCAATGTACGACTTTTATGTATTAAAATAAAGCAGTGTACTTTGTCACAGATACCTCTGCGAATACATCTACTACACATCTCTAAGCATAGACAAGACTCGCACGCTATTTGTTCACGTGCCAGATACGCAAATTTACAGCTCCGAACAGACAGCGAGAGGGCTGGAGCGCATTTTGGAGCTCTGCCTCCAGCAAGTAAATGAGAATGATACCACGAACTTGACTGATGACATGAAGAAAGCATCGCTGAATGAAAAGACGACTGACGCTTGCCCGTGTCAGCCTGCTACAAATCAGTAATAGTAAACATTTGCAATTAAGTATCGAGTCACAAATCGCGCCCAATTTTATATGAACAGTTATTTATATATTGATTTGTTCTAAACATTAATGGCAAATTTTACTTTCAAGACCATAAGTCATTGTTCAAGACACTTCATTGTGCAGTCTGTATAATAATGAATTATTATAAATATTGTATTACTGACATTTATACATTGTGTAAAAAGTATTACTAATTATATTAGATTGTATAAGGTTAATATGTGGTGATGACATAATATAAGCGTAAAATGTTTTATTTATATTCCAGTATTAAAGGTTGATGTTTATTATAATCTTGTTTTTCTTGGCATGTGGTGGCTAGCGTTTTAGGCTGTTTAAATTATAGCATAACGGGATGTTCTAGAATTCTCACGGCTTTGCCTTAGGACCTAGTCTCTTTTTTGTGTGCGTGTGGATTGAGTGAGCACCCTGCGAAATAAGTTTATAAAATACTAGTCCTTTAGTAAAAGTTCTAAAACAATTGTAAAAGCAATATTGGAATTTGTAAAAAGATATGACGGAAGATAAATGATGAAATGTCGGCTCACTCAGTTCTCACAGAGCACCAGCCAGATTTTCAAAAGTATTGAGTTTGCATGTAACATTTGTATACCAGGTTTTAGTAAAAGTTTAGAGTAATTAGCGTCTTTAATTACAGTTCGATTGATGCCCTATTCAAATTTTTACAAATAGTTTTTTAGGCTCACTCAATCCTCACATTCTCAAAATGTACAATTTCGTTATGAACCAACTAAAATAAGTAAATTTCGTATAAATCTAATTTTAGTACAAGTTCTTAATGAATTTGTAACATATAAATCGTACCACTAAGGTGGATAGTTTTTATGTAATAATTTATTTAAAGTGCTCACTCAATCCTCACATTTCTGCAAAGTAAAAAACATCAATATTTCGGTGGTTTTAATTGTTACAGAGACTATTTATAGTACAAGTTGTAGTAAAAATTTTTACTAAAGGTCCATCAATAAAAATTTCTAACTTTTAGTTTATTTAAAAAGATATTTGGTTTTTATTGTTTGTATGAAAATTTTCAATGAGCGTCGCCACACGTTTTCAAAACACAGGATATTTATATTAAAATATTTTATTACTATTGAAAATAACCATCAAAATCAACGAAATTGTTATTGTACAAACGTCCTTTGAACATTGCAATCTGCAGGTCTTACTAACAAATTGTAGTATTTTTTTCCGAAATCTACTTAATGAGTGGATTCAGTTACACCATCTAACTATTAATGCTCCTAAATTCATTTATATAAATTTCTAAAAGCTAAAAATAAACAAAATATACCCTTAACGTTAAATAATATTAAAATAAATAGTATTGATAGTGAAACATGTTTGGGATAGATCGTTGATAGTAAATTAACACGGAACCCCAATATAGTAGGAAATAAATCTAAACTATTGTCTCTTACCGCAGCTTTAAAAGGTATCGCTCGATATCTTCCCCGCAGGGTTCGTTATTTAGTCTACAGCTCACTAATTAAACCAAAAATTTGACTACCTCATCGAGATCTGGGGCTCAGCAGCAGAAATAAACTGGTAATTAAAAATATACAATATACATACACAAGTAACATTTACAAACACAAATACAAAATATTCAATTAAGGATGCAAATAATTTAGTACCTACCAATAACAAATGTAGAAGAACAATGTTTTAAATCAAGGGTAGCCATATATTAAATTATCCAAAGATATTAACAAAACGCAGTCTCTAATCACTAACTTAAAACTTCAAAAATACTACATAACTCAGAATTACTAAAACCAATTTAAATCAAATATTATAAAAAAATAAATTTCTTCAATACGTACATAAACATCAAAAATATGGTAATACTATCAATAATAAACTATAATCTGCATAATATACAAATTATTATTAATAAAAAATAAATCAATAAATCATTTCATATTTAAAACAAATAAAAAAAACACATGCAACATCTAGTACCTACAGGTAGCGAGTTTGCACCCTGTTTGGCACCTGAGGATGTTGAATGAATTTTAGCTAAAATGGCGGTAGTTTTTTTTTGTCAAATCTACCGTCTGTACGTTTAATTGTAAATATCTTACATCGTTTTCTCATGTAAGTGAACTAGTTTATAGTTTTTAATGAGAAATAAATATCTTATGCCAAACGTCGCTTTAGTGGCCTTGTGTCACTCAAAGCTCTGCCTCCGCCTATAAGGCAAACCAGAGGCGTGATTATATGTCATTATAATTAAATTTACTGACATAAGTATGTTCAACAATAACTAAGAAATATTAAAAAGAATGGATCTTGAAATAAAACCAGTGCCTAATGTCGCATGTAATATTGCCAGTGGATGCTTTCAATAGAAAGTCCATAAATGGAGCTAAACAACCCTATCGAGTTGTAAAAAGAATCGTAAGCAGGCATAGAGAGAATTCGGGTTGCATTTGAACAAGACGGTAGCTCAGTTGGCAGAGCGACTTGCCCCGGTTCGGCAGTAGACGTAGATTCAAATCCTTCCTGACATGATTTTTCTCTGTGCTTCTTTCGAGTCTTGATTAGATATAACACATAGGTAGTGGAGGAGTACTCCACATAAAATAAATGAAAATCATGTTAACAAAAAAATGTAATAAATTGATTTTTGAAAACAAACTATAGAAATTATTCGAATTTGCCCTAGATATTATTATGAAGTGCTAATATTGAGATACGGTCATCAAGAAGAGAAGTGTGATTAATAATAGATTCATTGCGAAAGACTACGATAATTTCTAATTTTGAGATTATGAATTGAAATCTGCGGCAAATCTGAACTAACGGTAAATATTAAAAAAAAAGAGGTTGCGTTCTGAAATAATGAGTAAAACTTACCAATCTCAATTTATTAAAACGATGTCCGTGCGTTCTGTTTTTTTTTATTTAAATGGTATGTATTAAACTTATAAACAGAACGCTCCGTGCGTTCCGATTTTAAGTAAAGTTTAATAATAGTGGAGATAGTGTAATAGCGACGTGGCTGTATGCCCTTTGCTTGGGACGTTAGCCTTAAAATTAATAGGTAAGTAACGTATTGCTTGTATTTGTTCGTTTTGGTATTTGAACGTGTGGCGACCCTACATTGAAAATTTTCATACAAACAATAAAAACCAAATATCTTTTTAAATAAACTAAAAGTTAGAAATTTTTATTGATGGACCTTTAGTAAAAATTTTTACTACAACTTGTACTATAAATAGTCTCTGTAACAATTAAAACCACCGAAATATTGATGTTTTTTACTTTGCAGAAATGTGAGGATTGAGTGAGCACTTTAAATAAATTATTACATAAAAACTATCCACCTTAGTGGTACGATTTATATGTTACAAATTCATTAAGAACTTGTACTAAAATTAGATTTATACGAAATTTACTTATTTTAGTTGGTTCATAACGAAATTGTACATTTTGAGAATGTGAGGATTGAGTGAGCCTAAAAAACTATTTGTAAAAATTTGAATAGGGCATCAATCGAACTGTAATTAAAGACGCTAATTACTCTAAACTTTTACTAAAACCTGGTATACAAATGTTACATGCAAACTCAATACTTTTGAAAATCTGGCTGGTGCTCTGTGAGAACTGAGTGAGCCGACATTTCATCATTTATCTTCCGTCATATCTTTTTACAAATTCCAATATTGCTTTTACAATTGTTTTAGAACTTTTACTAAAGGACTAGTATTTTATAAACTTATTTCGCAGGGTGCTCACTCAATCCACACGCACTCTTTTTTTAAGTAATATACTTCCGGACACAATTCGAATCACCTCGCATTTTTGTCGTAAACGGCTAGAATACAAAAATAGTGTTATCATCGAAGAAAAAAGTTTTCCCCAGTTTTGCAAATCCAAATTCCCAACAAGGACTTATGGAAAAGACGTTTAGTATACTAGTTTCAATCAAACATTGTTTAAGCTTAGGGCACTTAATACTGAAAATGCGTGGTTGCTCGAATTATGTGTCCGGAAGTGTGTATTAGATCATTGTAGTAGACATATGCGTTTCTATTATACTGTGTTTTAGATGACCGATAATCAAAATACGATTGTGGTGCTTAAGCCTAGTCGGATTAGTAGTCTTCCACTCTGTTCACTATTCCTCGTGCTGATCAAACTCTGGTTGGTAAAAAAAAGACGATGTAAGTTAAAGAAATGTCATTTATTGACTAATCCTCCTCTTCGTCGTTGCCGCCGCCACCAGCCTGGCCCTTGCGCAGGTTCTTCCTCTTAACGCGGCCGGGCCGTCCGCCGCCGAAGGGCGACTTCAGTGAGAAGTCAATGTGTTTGCCAGAGTCCAGGCGAACGATGAACGAGGGAATGTTCACCACTTGCTTGCGGACGCTGAGGAAGATAAAGATGTTTATTAGACACTATTCAAATTCAGTGACTGTCGCAAACAATTTGACGACTTTCAAATAGAATTTTGATTATTTTGGCAAGCACTGCATCTGCTTTTACATACTGTTATATCACAGAAATCTAAATAAATTTGCCTTTTTATTTAGATTTCTGTGTATGGAATATATAGGTACTATGTACAAACTGTCATAATGCTGGATTCGAAATTCTCAAGATATTTTCTTATTTTCTTTGACAATGGATAATTAATGTTGTGACAAACAGCGAGAAAACTAAATAAACAAAATGAAAAATCTTTGTATTTGATTTGTGACTTTTAAAATTTGACTCATTTCAATATGTCTCTAATGCAAACATTATGGCACAACATCGCTAGAGCGGTTGCAGTGTTGTTCCAATTTCATAAATGTTAAAACAATTATAACGCTTTGAACTCTTGTCTCAATGTGATGTAGTCTGTTCCAATCTATTTTGAACAAAAAATAAACAAACCTGTTTGGTTAAAATTTTAAAGCAATCACTCAAAATATCGAATAAGTAACATTTTCACTTATATTTCGAAAATTTCGAATCGATATATCATCACTTTTTCCAATAATATTCATTTGAACAGCGTCGTAAAATCGTATTTGAAAAATGATAGTCCAAAAGGGAGGTTATTATTCATCTATACTTCTATGACTTGCCTATGGTTGCTTAGTGCTGTCCGAAAAAAAAACATTTGGTTCAATCAATTCAAGTTTAGTAATCGATTATTAAATCAAACATTTCAATTGCAATCAAACGAGTATCTAAGTGTAAGGATTTGAAGGAGGATTTAAATTGAAATTTTAAATATGCGTATGTAGGTTATGCAAAGAAAACCGCTATTACGACTCAATTGAACAAATCAATTAATTAATCGATTTGTAGTTGGCGCTACAATTGGCCACCACTAAATCGTCTATGGTCGGGTCAGTGACTTGTTTGTTTACTTTTTGTTCAATATGGACTGAAATGAAGTAGTCTTGTTTCCGATATGTGTGATGTGGAATAGGTACTCATTCATTGTGATATGTGTAATGCAGATTAAGTATTAAAATATGAATAGTTTGTTGCCACCTACAAATAAGCATAAAATTCCAAGATTACACACTTAGAAATCTTGAAGGTGTCAATCCTATTGCCTTAGTGTCCAAACACGACGATTGATAACAAGATCGCCATGGTCTACTTTAAGGCTAAATTAGAAGAATTTACACTACAAGAATTTATAATGGGAACACAAAAAACTTTACAGGAACATAAATTAAGCCTAACTTAAGGCATCATCAAGACCTTACCTGTGTTACAGCTCAATAGAGCACAATTTCAAGACATTGATCTCAACAAGTGAGATTCAAGTGGTCTAATTGAATAATATTCATCAACTTGTGGCTGGCCAAGCCGCATGTATTACCTGCATGTCATAATATAAATAAACATATGTGCCAGACAAGAAATCAGACCTAGTGAAAAGGTTTCAAAAAATTCATTCAGAAAGAGCTTACACACGACACACAATGGGTACCACAATCAATTTAAAAATTTGTCCCAAAAAGCTGGAAATTAAAACTGGGATTGTATCATATAACATAGTAGGTAATTAACACCTGAGCCTGTCTTCATGGCACTGACAGTTTTATATATCATTAGAAGTTTCTTACTAATAGCTTTGCTTCTTCCTTATTTTAAAATCCATAAAGTGCTAAGTTACAAATTCTGATAGTGTATAATAGCATAAATACTAAAAGTAATATAATAAGGTTTAAGGAAATTACAAATTCTTACCGAATATGCCTCTGTCTGATCAAGATACGAGCATGATGAATGGACTTAGCGAGACCGGCCTTAAAGACTTGAGTCTGCAGACGACGCTCCAAGAAGTCTTCAATCTTCAAACCAAGTACATAATCAAGCTTCATTTGTTTCTCATCCAGCACTCCAATACGGACCAAACGACGGAGAAGGGCATTACCTGGAGTTAAAATTAAACAAACATACATATACTATTGATTTCTTAAAACATTTGCTACAATATTGAAAGGCAAACATCAGTAATAAAATGGATATCAACACTGATTTCTGTCAAGAGGTTGCCAGTTTGTATTCATCAGTTAGGTTTTATGCAATTGGTTTTTTCCTGTAATAAGATGACTATGAAAGCCACAGTATAAGTTATGAAAATCATTGTTAAGAAATTGCAGTATCTGTTTACATGGTATTCAACTGTTTAATGATTACTTTACACAGGTGCAAAATTTCTCCTTTAATTAAATTGAGTAAAATACATGATCTATTGTTTAAATTTCACTCACTGCTACCTGTGGACTTCCCAAGTTTGTGACATAGTAGAAGATCATTAGCTTGCACTTGAAGTGTTATACATATACATTCAATAAAATATAAAAAGACATTTGCACACTAACCTTCAAACAATCTCTTAGCTCTTAGGATATAAAAAGACATGTGCACACTAACCTTCAAACAATCTCTTAGGATCTTTCTCTTCGAGGGTGAGCAGTTCACGGGCAGCTTTACGGATCCTCGCGAGCGTGTACTTCACGCGCCACACCTCGCGCTTGTTGCGAAGACCATACTCGCCGATGATCTTCAACTCCTGGTCGAGACGCGCCTTCTCAAAGGGACGACGCGGCGTCACGTAGGTTTTGGAGAATACCGAGGGCACCCGGTTGTTCACCATCTTGGTGAGCTATAATCGTTGATAATTGGGTTACCAAGGTTGTTTATACGATTTCTCAGTGTTTGGACACTTCGTAGTGTACAGAGGGTGAGTTTGTCGCCACCAGCAGTTGCAAACGTAAACGCTTAAAAACCTACCTAACTAAATTGACGAGCGAAAAATTCCAAGATAATACGCTTGGGATTCTTGCCGGTGGCGTTGCTATAGCCTTGTTGTCCAAACACAGTGACGGATTAGAACATCACCGTGGTCTACTCAAAGGCAAAGTTAAGTTAGGTTATGATCATGAAATCCGTTCACATCTCAATAAGTATAAAATATTTACCAATAGTAATAACACAGAACACTATCTAAAGAAGGTTTAAATAAATTGTTGCACTTATTTCAAAAAGATTAACGCATAACACATATAAAAATTTACAAATAGTCACCTCGTCCCGTATACACGGCTCGTTGGAAAAAGAAAGAAGTTTTAGAAGTAGTCAAATCTGACAGATAAATGACACAACGGACAAGGGAGAGTCCGAAACAATGTTGCCATTTTGAAAAATAATTTTACGTTGTCAAAAGGTAAAGTTACTGAACGAAAACGATGGAGCCAGGAACAGTGGTGGTGGTGGTGTGGTGCAGTTGTTGGAGGATTTTTTCGGTGTAAAGAAATCATTTTAAGGATCGTATTCCAGAACTCTACTCAATGCTCAAGTCAGGATCTGAGTATGATTTCAAGCACTGGAAATACGACCCTAATGGCAAGGATTTGAGTATGATTTCTAGTGCTTTGAATCATACTCAAGTCCTAACTTGAGCAGACTTGAGTATGATTTCAAGCACTAGAAATACAACCGTAATGGCAAAGACCTGAGTATGATTTTCAGTGCTCTAAATCATACTCAAGTCCTGACTTGAGCATTAAGTAGAGTTCTGGAATACGACCCCTTATCTCGTTTTTCTTTAGGTGGCTTTAACACATACAAGTTTATTTTATAATTCACGCTAAATAAAACTCTTCAAATAATACTTCTATATGTAGAATATAATTTTTTTTTTTTTAAATTTATTAAGGCTTTGGCAAAGCCATTAGCCTAAACATGAAGTTTAATTAGGTTTCTGTAAATATGGCCGCCACGTAGAGGATAAGCAATTTGAGGCGGCGTGCTTGGATTGACTCGGGATTCCTTAAAACGGGCCGATACGGGTATTTTAGTTCGAGATTCGTATAATTTCGCGTTTTAATCTTCGATTAAGGCACAATAGCACTATCCTATTCCACTTTAAACTAGATTTCACAAAATAATTGAAAGTCAAAATAAAAACGACACTTTTCCCTCCAAAAGGTCCAGAGCGAATCCTAGAATATAATATGAGCCTTCCAAATTATATTTTTCCAATATTTCCGGAAAAATACCACTATTTGAAATTTTTCGGAAAATTACCCAACACAGACATATTAGATGTAGACATATTAGAATATGGCTACATCAATAGAGTGAAACTCTCGCAATTCGCATACGCGTACGCGTTTTCACATTGTTCATTTGTTTGTTGAAGAACTTACAATGTAAACGCAATGTATACGCTTCTATAACAAGTAACCGGTTGATATACAAAATTTGCCTTTCACGAGGTTTAAAACAACAGTGATTTTAGTGAAACAAAAATTTTATACTAAAGGTTACTATACAACTTCAGCGTACTTGGATGACAAAATGGTAGTAACCCGTTACGCTCATGGAGGTAGTCTCGATCTCTGTTTCAAATAAAAATAAATAAATTGTAAATGTAATTTACAAAGAGCAACCCCTAGAGTTTCTTGCTCATTCTTCTCAGGGGAATCTGCCTTACGAATGAGCGGTAGAGTTTAACCATTGTGACCGTTTATTCTAAGATTGTGACGATTTTAAGTGTAATAATGTTTACCTATGAAATAAAGATTATTTTGAATTTTTATTTTAGCTTCTTGCTCAATTAAATTATTAACGTATAATAATCTGAAAGACGTACAATTTAATTAATTAAAATGCGAACTACAATTATTATTGCGTTTACGACATTTTACACCACATTTTTAACTTCGTCCTGAAAAATTACTCCACAAGGAGGTATTCACTCTAAAACGACAAGAATAATGCTTTAAATAATTATTATGTTCTTCACAACTTCAGAGAGGAATAAAGACAACATTTTTTATTAGAATCCAACATTGGTATTAAAACTACTATTTTTTCAGATCTAAATCGAGAATATTTAACCAAAACGTTTCGTGCCCTTGGTCATGGGCCACGGTTAATACCGCGACTTAAATGAGAAATTTTTTTTTTCAATTCCAATGTGTAACAATCATGAAGACCATGAGAACCGGACAGATAGGATTTTTCCCAAATAGTACGTACACGTATTTATTATGAGAAGCAAGAAAGTACGTAAATACCTATTGTATATATGTAGACCTTAGAGGATGGAAAAAAATGTAGACGTGGGTATTGTAATAATTTATTTAATATACCACTTTTTCGGGAAAGACATTCAAAATTGCACCTTTTTTATTTACCATAAAGCAATAATCGATATCTGTTATTTCTCTTTTTATAAGATCGAAAAAAAACACTTCGAGTAGGAGCAGGCAATAATCTTGCAAACAGCGTTGCTCGCAAACTACAAAGATACAATGCTAAGGGCCAAAGGGAATTTCTTTTCAACTTATGTGGGAATAATTAGATGGAAAAAATAGTTTAAGGAATAAACAATAAATAAATAATGTACACATTCATGGCCCCGCACTACCTGTGTGGCTCACCCGCGTAGACACATGCATAGACACCACACACCCAATATTAATATTTCTCCCGGGCCCGAAAATCAAACCCGGGACCTCTGCGTATAGACCGGCATGGTAACTGGAGCATGGCCATGGAGGCAGTTGAATGAGTTACATTTTTGTTTTGACTGTACTGTAATGATCACAAATTTACAAAAAATGCTTTGCAGTAACAAAGTTGACGTATCGCAGAACAAGTCCGTAAAAGGAAAAATAATAAAAAATATGTTTTGAAATAGTTTTGATAATTATTTATATATTTATACATTATGAACTGATGGCATACAATTAAAAAGAGCTTTAAAACTTTTTGTACTTTAAGAAACTTCTGTACTTTTTTGGATTCAATCCGTACGCTTTTAATCTCTCGTCGGACAATTTATTTAAAGGATTATCAGATATGTCGTTGCTTTGTTTATTTTTAAATCCTTGCGGTTTAAATTTATTGAAATATCTGTTTTTCTTGTCGAAAGTTTTATTTTTTTTCTTTTTGTTTTGTACTTGATGATTATTTATATCTAATTTACGTTTTAGGTTGTTTTTATTTTCGCCAACTTTACTTGGAGTTTGATTTTGGACGCGTTCCACTGTGAAACCATCGATTTTGTGTTTTTTCTTCTTTTTCTTGATTCCTTCACCATTTATCATTGTACTTTCATTTGATAGGATTACATTTTGTACTTGAAGTCCTGTAGTATCGGTCGCCTGCATGGTCCTTGCGCTCTCTTCGTGATTAAGTTGATTTTTATTTTTATTATCTACTTTTTGTCTATGCTCCTGTAGATTTGACGTATTTTCTTCATGATTTTCTGAATTTTTATGCTTTTCTCTATGTACAACGTCTTCATTTACTTCCGAACTGTTTTTATGTTTTTCCTTTTTAGTATACTCTTTATCTTTTGGTTCAGTATTATGAATCTCACTATCATTGTTACTCGGTTCAGTTTTATCCAAACTGTGTTCCTCTCGATGTTTCTTTTTCTTCTTTTTAGAACTCTGTTCAGTATTTTCGCTGCTTTGAACTTTACTAGATTGGATATCGTCAGTGATTTCCATACTTTGATCTGGATTGTCAGTGGAATTGTCTTTGTTCTTCTTTTTCTTTTTCTTCTTTTTAGTCGCTTCTTCAATAGGAACTACTATTTCGGGTTCACTGGAAATGAAATGAAATTATATTATTTTCAAAGATAGATATCTTCTGGTGTTACGTTATGGCATGAGGTATTATTCTCTTTATTATGTTTTACTACAGTAAGTATTTATAATAAAATTTTACAGTACTGAATTTAGTTTTTCATATGCAGGCCGCACACACGTCCAAGTCCCACTGCTGGGCACAGATATCGTCTAACGAGAGGGTAAATGCTCCACAATGTTGTTAATGCGGGTTCAAAGACTTGTGGGACTTGAAAGTCTTTGTAGTATAACACGCAAGTGTCATTACAATGTTTTTCTTCACTTAGCTATTTATCATTGCATGATAATAAAATTATTCAATAGTTTAGTGTTTTCACATTTCATTTTTGGCGACAATTGTTTGCTGTAATGTGATATGAAATTGGTCATCAAACCAAGGTATTATTTGTGTAATCACTTACTCAGGTAAGTCCGTAAAAAGACTAGGCAATATCTTTTTCTTGAGACGTTCATCAGAGGCCTTGATCCGGTAAGTATTCACCTCGGACTTCTCCACCTCGACCGGTCTATGCTTCACTATCTTCTTTAGCGGCACCCATTGGGTTAATTCTTTATCGTCTGCTAGGAGGATCTGGATATCAGAAGTGGGATTACATCCATTTAGTCGATTTTATAACTTTTATTAGATAGAGTAGTGCTGCTATGTAGACAAATTAAATCCTATCGCTATCATTACATTATTGGTAATAAAACATGCATAAAAAAACTACATTACTGCATATTGTCGGCTTTCGAGATCTTTCTGCAAGTGCCATAGCTACGCACAAGACAATACTTCAAGTTATATTGTCTGTTCTATTTTATTTAAAACTCGACCGTACCTCCTCGATGGTAAGTCCAAAATCATTCGGCACGACTTCTCGATATTTAAACCTCGTCGGTAAGTCCCCACCAATCACATCTTCGCAATCCATCTTGTAATATTCCTCCATATAATCGTTATAAGTTTTATCATTAACGCGGGGAATGAATTTAGGTTTTTCTTCTTCTAATATTTTGGCTAATTTTGACTTTTTCTTCCTGTTGCGTCTCTTGCTGCCGAGTGTACTTTGTATTTCTTCCAGAAGATTCGCTCTGGCTTGCCTGGGATCATAGTCAGCGTCCATCTGTAATAATTTTATTATGTTTGTTTGATTATTATAGAAAATCTGTACCATGTATTTTTCCCATTGCTTCGGAATTTTGAGTTCCTAACTGGCTTTCTCAGTACAAACGATATTTTTGTTAACTTAAATCGTATGAAGTGTAAGAAATGACAATATTTTCAGTTCCAAATGACTGCATCAACATAACTTTTAATTAAAATAAACGTTAAAAAATCAAGTGAAAGGTCCACTAAAAACCAGCATCAAAACCTAGACTCGGCTGTGTCATTAGTGCATCCTTATTCATACACCACAGCCTTATGTGTGCATAACAGTACTTCACATCGTGTGGATTGTTTGTAATTTGATATGTTTGCTTCGTTGATTTTTTGTGTGTTAATTTATTCTTTCTTTATGATATTTTCTATTCTAATCATGGGTACTCCGGGATAATTTTTTTAAGCTTACATTGAAATCGTCATCCTCACAATGCGGACCGTCTTCGTTATGAACGTCCGGCTCGCGCTCATGATAATGCTCTGTTTCGTACTTGTCCCAGTTTTCTGTAAAACAGAAATTACATAACCTGCAATATTTTTTGGGTAAACGTAACTTGCATGCCAGAAAATGCATTAGAAAATTTCCTGCAATGATTTATATAAATAGGAGGCATATTTTAGTTTCAATTTAACATACATAATCAAATTCGCCTGTCGTTATTAAAATGTGTACTTATGAGTAAAAATTGATTTCGATACTAAGAGACCGAGACCAACTGTCAAAATAAGAATAAAGAATACAATAACGCAATTATTCCTTTTAGACTTATTCTAACACTCACTATGACATTTTAAAAACTTTACCAATTTCGAGCTCCTCGTCGAGGTCTGGGAACACAGGCTTCTCGTCATCAGCCTCTCCATAGAACTGTTCGTCGAACAAAGCTTTCATTCGGCGATCGTGCTCTTCAGGATCGAAATCGCCTTCTATATCTTCTTCCTGTAAACAAATTTAAATTATCAACTGTTAAGGTTCTAATGGGATGTAAGATAAGTGGACAGTGTTACAATAGGGCTGATATATTCGCCGTCTTAAATTACATGGATCAGTTGCAACACACACACGTTTACGCGACGCAAATCAGGTTAACTTTGAACGGCCCTTGACCGCAACTTTCCCACTCAGTTTTTTTTTTCTAGTAATTTTAGTTAAATTATTCTTAATTCGGGCATGAAAGGATAACTCATTCATCAATAAAACGTATTTCAATCAATACATTTCTATTTTAATATGCGTGAAAGCCTGAGAAGTGTTCAACGATACCCAACATTACTGTACTATTTTACCTAAGTTTTTACAGAGACACCTCCAACCGGCTTACATTGTACCACTACAAAGTAATGGTACTAATCAGGACTAAGAAGTGTAAAGCGGCAATAACTGTATTAAATGGTCCTTCGCCAGTATGACAATTGTTTAGTGAACACAACCCTTCAATAGATTGCCGCATTGCAAGGTTCGGTATTGCTTGCACCACTACCTTGTGTTACTTACAGAAGTATGATCAGCCTATTGGTTGAACCGTCACCCATTTAAGTTATAGTGACCTCTCTACTAACCTTGAAAGCCAGCTCCTCATTCCCAGTGACCTCCTTAATCCTGGCAATCTTCTCCTGGATCTCTTTCAGCTTCAGCGCCTTCATCCTGGCGATCTCTTCCATCTTGCGCTTCTTCTCGTCCTCTTTGCGCTTGCGCACTTCGGCGCGTTTGCGCGCGCGCGACTCGTCCTTCGGCCGAATGTAGTTCATGGTGCGCGGGAAGCGTTTCAGCTGGGAGAATTCATGTCAATATGATAGAATTAGTTAAAAAACTGCAAGGATAATTCAAATTATATAGGTTTCTTTTTATCACGTTACCAAGAACAACTCACATATTCCTGGTCTGGCTCCTCGAATCTGAAGTTGTAAGCTCTCTCGAACTGGCCCTGCTCCTCCACTCTCTTCTCGTCCTCATCTAGCTCCTCGTCGTCACGTATCTTCTCTTCTGCTTCTCCCGCGTCACCTTCTTCCAGATACCTGTCATATTAAATGAAATTGATACAGTTATATATTGCAGCAAAATTTTGCTTCAATGACTCTTTGCATTCTATAAGATGGTGTAATTTTTTTTGCTGTGGAGCTATCCACCTTGACGTATGAATTTCTCTTCAAAGTGTGAACCGCGCCTATCCTCTTTGGAGGAGGATGAATTAGAATTAGAATTTTATGAAAACTGGCATCCCTACAAATGTTATTTTACTCTATCTGCAAAAAAGACCGACTATAATAATAATAACAACAATGTGACTTGCTATGACGAAAAAACAGACGCCACTATCAGGAAATAACAAAAACATGTACACTAACTGTAACTATACAGTTTAACTTGGATATTTAATATTTCTCAAACATCTTTACCAAATCAACCTATTTTTAATTCCCCTAATAAAGGAATTTTGCAAAAATGAATTATTTACCTTTTATTCAAAATATAATCTCGAAGGAAAGCTTCACCGTCGTTAAGCTTGGGGTCTGACCACAGCGCTCTCAGTGGCGCCAGGTCCTTTTCCACATCCTGTTGTATGTGATCTGTCTTGCCAGTTAGGTAGTCCTGTATTCTTCCTCCCTTAAAAGCAATATAATGGAACTGATAACGGTCTGGTGCGAGCATACAAAACGAAAGGATAAGAATCAGTTCCAATGAATGCTCTTCAAACTTTGAACAATTTTTATATAAACACTGGGCTCATCTACACATGTCACGAGGTTACTGATGGACGTATATAAGTCGACCGTGGCTCAAGGGGCACAGCGTTCACGTGGCATTGTTGCAGCGAATAAACTGGATAGCAGAGGATCGGAAACGGACGCACCAATAGTGTTTTTCCCCTGTCAACGGCCAAGGTCAATACACAAATGTACAAAAACTAATCACAACCACATTTGGACAACTCTACGTCGGTACAAAGGCGACACTCATATATAGTATATGAGTGTATATGGGACCCTGTACTCACACAATCATGATAATCTCAGTACAAAGTACTAAAAAAACCAACCAGTGGAATTACATTTTTATTTGCCAAGTTTATTGAAATTGGTTACAGGAAACTGCGCCAAAACGGAATCATCCCATAGTTTGCCACCATTAGAGGTGGAATATTTTTTTCTTTTTTTAACCCGTTTCCAACAAAAAAAAAATCAAAATCGGTTCACAAATTATTGTTATAGAGTAACATAAAAAAAAAATATTTAAAAATTACAGTCGAATTGAGAACCTCCTCCTTTTTTCAATTCGGTTGAAAAATAGGTACTATTGGGCCTGTTTTACCATACTGGTCTTCTGTGAACCTATTTCAGTTGAATTGCAGCACTGCTCAGTTTCAGTTTGACCAGTATGCCTGCCCAATCGTAGCTATGGGAAATTTTTTAAATCTAATTTCCATGTGGCTAATGTTAATAAACCTATGCAATTCTTATCTTTATAGAAACAAAAGTTACATTTTTTATTTGTACATCAATATTGCATATCAGTGTAGGTTTGGATTAAATTGGTCTCTATATCTTACACTTATGGCAATCTTGTCATGTGTCTAATGATAAATAAACCCTGTCAGTTGTATTACTACGTAATGCCATACCTTAGGATCTAGATCTGAAGTATTCAAAGTGTCTCCGGTTAGAATCTCAGCTTTCTTTTCTATTTTGAATATGTTGCCATCACTGTCACTGTCTTCCTCACTGTCCTCAAAAGTTAGAGTTCTAATCTCTAGCTTTTTCTCTGTTCACAATCAAATATGTTGGTATGTAGATTAAAGAATATTGTCACAATAAAATCAAATTTAATATTGATAAGCTTACTTAAAATTATAGATTTTAACTCTTTCACCGTTATTTACTAAATCATAGTTTCTCAAAATTGTTCCTACCTCCCCCCATTACGCACTGAAGAGTCCTAGGGAGCCTGTAGGGGCTTCGAGAGCAATTGGGGCATTGATGCTGTTCAGAGAGTGAGAGATTTTTTGGGTTTTCAATTGTGGTGGGAGCATTGAAATTTTTTTTGTCTTGACTATTTGGTTGGTAAGCCACAAACCTATGCACTAAATAATTATCACAAATTACAGGTTTCTTACAATGGTATAACTTCTAGTTTGTTATGTCAGTTGGTGGTACCATAGTTGGTCAGAAAAGTATGTAAGTAGTAAGTTAATACAAGATCATCAAATTACTACAAATCAAGATGAGGCTAGACATTGACAGGGAAAGAGTAAATAAATGAGTATGTTAATAATAAGAAGTCATACCATGGATGGTAAGGAACCTGTGGTTAGTGATAATCATATAGAATCATGATTTACACTACTAATAACTTGATATATGTCATCTTGTACTGTTTGCTTGATTCAGCAAACTGCTCAATATGATATTGAGTTTTAAACTATATTTTTGGGATCCAAATTGTGTGTATTTTTCAAATGAACCAACATTTCATGCTCTTGCCAGGTCTACAAGTTTTGATCCGAAAATTTAGTTCATTTCAGATGTTAACAAAACTTTACTATGTCATCAAATATGTTATTTTGTTGAGCATGGGACTCACTTAGGGTTGTAGCCTAAAAATACATTATAATACTTAAAAATATTACTTACTTAAGAAAAAATTCAAAAAATATTCCTTCTATTTACCTTCCACCTTCTCTTCTTTCTCATCAAAACATTTGAAATTACTGTCATATATTCGCGGATCCTTTGTCTTCAGCAATGAGAGAGTTTTGAGGAACTGCGCCTCCATCTCCTCAGAGACTTCAGGAGGCTCGTCACTCTCATCCTCACTGTCCGATGATGACGCGTCGGGGTCTAGGGCTTTAGAGCCATATTTTTGTTCTACTGCAAAATTTATTATAAAAATATTAGCTTAATTCCATTGTACAATTTCATAAATTTAAAAAAAAAATTTAATAATTATGGACAGCACCAAGAATTATATTTGACATAGACCGTAGTGTAATGTAAAATAATAACTGTCTACACTAAATACGTTTAGAGTGCATGTCAACCACTGTCAGAATATAAATACATAGTAAGAATTCAAGTTTTTAACATTATACGCGATTCAGTGAAATAAGAAACTATATGAGTAGTTAACGTAGTAACATAGTACTATAGTAATTCAGTAAAATGTAGTGAACAACAAAAAACGTTTCCATACAATTTTTTTGTCAGAACATGTAAAAATATTGTAACTTACACTTGTGTAGTTCTTCTTTTTCACGCCATGAGTCATATTTCTTAGCGTACTCGTTCTCCGTTTTAATGGCGACCTCCTCCTCAGAGTCGTCATCGAAAAGTTTCTTTTTAGACATGGTAGTCGGTTAAATACGTAATTAATTAATTTATAATAACCTTATAAACAACTCGTGTTCCAGGCTCTAAGGGGAACAGAAGTTTTGACAGAAACGTCTCGTTTGGTTCAGCTTTTTACTTCTGATATTTTTAATACTTTAAAATTAAACAGCTGTTTTACAATTTTAATCAACCTTTAAAAAATGTTTTTAAATGTTTTTTACACGCTGAATGAAAAATAAAAAATATACCTCAAATTTACATGTAGCTTAGGGCAAAAATTGTATACGTAACGGAGTGTATAAATTCAGTATTACTATTGCTCCATACACTTCACCGTCATTTCACTTTGCACTTGCATGGAAAAATATTTATAAAATAAAATTAGGCGAATCTGGGTGTATGCTAATTAACATAAAGTACCTATAATGTCACGAACTATATATAATTAATTATTACACTGTTAAGGTATTATAAAACTCTTTCGAACAATAAGTTAAAGGTCCTATGTGTTTTTGGGTAATGAAAATAATTTCATGGCAACTTTATTATAACCTTATTAAAATTTTTATGTCAACCGGCTGTTGTTGTTGTGCAAAAATTCGCAAATAAAACGATTTTATTCAATAAACTGGTGAAATAATTGTGTGCGAATGAGAAACAGTACATAAATAATAATAAACTATGACTACCAATCCGCGGAGAGGCACCGAGCCGGGTCCTTTGGAGGAGAGCGACCAACTTACTATAAGACCATTGTAAATACTTACCGTTTCACTTATATAGGTTTACATGTATATTATATTACTGTTGTCTTCTATGTATTGGTAGAAATCAATTTAAAAGTTTGGTGTGCTTATTACTGACTATATTACATATTATTTGTAATACCGGTAGTTATTGTTTTTCTTGGGATCTTCGTCCTATTGGGCAATTATTTTGCGTACAATTTTATAATTACTTAACAAACACACTATTTGTAAAAATGAGCAATAAAAGACCTTAAAGACAATAAAAGACAGGATTAGAGATTCAAATTCTTTGAATTGGGTTAAGAGTCTTGAAATGCAGACAATTTTAGCAGTTTTTTTCCAGAATCAATTTAACTACAGAAAGATTCTAGATGTAGAGATAGCAAATGTGTATATAGAATGATTCTTTGGTAAATATGAAGAGGGCAAAACTGCAGTTTGTTTTTAAATTTATTTCCTAACTTAAGATTTAAGTAGTCCTGTCAAAATAGAGATAATAAACAGAGAAAGTAATAAAAAAAATAGTATAATAGTATGTAATAAAAGAAAACAACTTTTTTTTATGGTATTTACAATGAATAGATCTTGGACGAAGCAAAGAAAGCTTATGTTACAGTATTTAGCCAGTTGTGTGTAAGCACAAATTGGTTGAATAACCATGGTGTTTCATTTAGTTTTAACAAAGGCATAAAACCTTTTTAAGTCGGGTTTCAACCCTTGCACCCTTGTTTTATTGTATTTTCTATAAATTTTAGAGAGATCCTACACATATACAAAAATGAAATAAGGCAAATAATAAAGTTGTATGTTTTTCATTGCAGAGGAGCTGGCCAGGAGGTTGGCAGATCATGTATTATGCTGGAATTCAAAGGAAAGAAAATTATGGTACTGATATTAAATTGGCCTTGTACACATTACACCTGTCTCTTACTGTTCCTGACATTGCTACTATTGCATGTTCAACACTAGCATAAATTTTTCTATAAACACCATTACTCCTTAGTGCTTGTGGCTTTTTTACAATGTTCTGAGAACATAATCTTTTTTTTTATTTATATGTTGATTATTTTACATTACTTTCCTATTAAATTAATTTATATTTTACTTTATTTGGCTAGTAAAATTTTCTGACTAATCATTATACATATAGTTTTTCAAAAATTTGGCCATTTATTTAACTTTTTTATTTTAGGTATAATTTGGAAATAAAGATGTTGATTGACATTTTTTCATTCATTTGTTTCAATTTCATATTATTACAGGTTTGTTAAGTGGTTCTAGCTTGATTTTGTGTTATTGCGAATTTTGTAAAAACTTAAGTTGAGAGTTGGGACCTGTAAAGGGCCCGAAACGTCGGTTTGTTTGAAAAAACAAATATACGCGATTTAAATCCGGAAAAATAGTTTTATTCCTATGTATAACAATCGCGAAAACCTAAGAACTCGTTAAGTTGAATTTTTTTTTATTTATTAAATTTTGATTTCATCAATTAAACTGTTACAGTTTAATTTCGATAGCTTATGTTTAAGTCTTTTTAATTTCGATTTTTTATCCTATAAAGATTGTGTAAGATGGAGATCGCTACTTTATGTCTAGTTTTTCTTTTATTTATTTATAATTATTATACCACCATCATATGACTCCCTCTCTTTGTAGCCCTTTTGCAATATATATTTAAGTTTTGTTTCACTAAATATGTGTGTGGTTTTATTTTCATATTATTCATATACCATAATCCAAATAGATACCATACTGGTGCAGATTCCCTTCAACCTTCTCCATTTGTGTCTGTTTCTGGCTTCTCTGCTTCAAGAAATTCCTGTTGTTGTTCTAATGTCATCATCCCATTATTAGCACTGAGTCAAGTAAATATATGCATGCGTTACGTTATTCTGATATAATTAGCTATTCACATTTTAACATTTCCAAATATATTATTTATATAGTTGCTATCTGTGTCTTCATACAGTTGGACTGTGGTATTCATCCTGGCTTATCAGGCATGGATGCTCTACCCTTTGTGGATCTCATCGAGGCAGATGAAGTAGACCTGCTATTGATCTCACAGTAAGTGTTTCAGGGTCGTATTCTAGAACTCTACTCAATGCTCAAGTCAGAATTTGAGTATGGTTTAAAGCACTCGAAATCATACTCAAGTCCCTGCCATTAGGGTCGTATTTCCAGTGCTTGTGTTTCAATTGCAATTCTGACTTGAGCATTGAGTAGAGTTCTAGAATACGACACTAAGATTAAAATGAGAAACAGTGGTGTATATACATATACTAAGTAACTCATTGGCTTTGTTGCCCATTCCCATGTCATGGCATCTCTTGTTTATTGGAGGAAGCGTTTATTAGCAAATATTAATAATAATGCGCCATTCAACCACACCAATTACCTGATCTCAAACTAGGGGATTCCCTGTACTATGAGTACCAGAACAGTGGAATTCACTCCAGGGCATACTATCAGAACTGCAAATGAAAAGCGTTGGTCCAAAAATATGATTAAGTGCAATAGTTTTAAAAATTTGGATGTTTTGAACTTGATTGCGCGAATTCACTTCTATTTATATTTATATTAGCCAAAACAAGAGTACTTCCGTTACTCGAAGTCATCCGGATAATCTACCTGCCATTTTTTTTTCAGTTTCCACTTGGACCACAGTGGTGCACTGCCTTGGTTCTTAACGAAGACCTCGTTCAAAGGACGAGTGTTCATGACGCACGCCACTAAAGCTATCTACAGGTGGCTTGTGTCAGATTATATTAAAGTCAGGTGAGTTCATTGCTTTCAAATGTCACCAAATGAGTACTTGGTGTAACGGGCTGGCGTCCGTAACTCGACGTCAAGGCGTCTATTTTGCGTGTAACACCAAATCAAACAGCAAATGAGCAACAACCAGTTGCACTAAAATGTTTGTATGAAAAAATGTGGTCTTGTGTTCTAGAGGGGCTCTAGAATTTGTCATGTAAACATTTTAAGAAGCGTACTTTTGGTGTATTTACACGAGCTGCACCGCAACCGCTAAATAGTAGGTGTCCTGTATGACTACACATTTAGGGATATGGTATGCTTATAAGGCAATAACTCAGTGAATAACATTAGAATGTTTGAGTTGTATCATTAGTTACCATTACCATTTGACGATTATTGATAGGAGCTTCCTATTTTTTTCTCTTTAGATGTCAGTAAATGAATAAATAATAAATATTAGACAACATCACATACGTTAGTCCGATGCCAAAGTAAGTAACTAAAACATTTGTGTTATGGAAATCGGAAACAACTACAGTACCGCAAATACCCAGACCTGAGACAGTATAGAAAAGTGTTTTACATTGACTCGGCCGGGGATCGAACCCGTGACCTCAAGAGATGGCGACACCATGAAAAGCGGAATGCAAGCCAATCGACCACAGAGGTTAAAGAAAGTGGTTATAATGTGTATATCAACTATTATTTTTATTGATATTATTATAAGATTTTCATATGATTTCAGTAACATATCAACCGAACAAATGCTCTACACTGAATCGGATCTCGAGAACTCGATGGATCGTATAGAGACGATAAATTTCCACGAGGAGAAAGACGTTCGAGGTGTTCGGTTCTGGGCTTATAACGCTGGACATGTGCTGGGGGCTGCTATGTTTATGATCGAGATCGCCGGAGTTAAGGTGAGACATGTGATGTTATGGGTAGTTTTCAGCACCTTATATATTTAAACTCGACACTTGCTCAAGATTTACCTTACGCAATTCAGAGCTTTAGGATAGGTTTTTGGTTACTCAGAAGTTGTGGTAGGATTAATCGCGGTAGTCTTCCTTACCATCTGTAGTTTTTTAGCATCTCGTCAGATTGATAAGATTTGTATTTGCATTTCAGATTTTATACACGGGTGACTTCTCAAGACAAGAAGACAGGCATTTAATGGCTGCCGAAATACCAACTGTACATCCTGATGTGCTTATAACAGTAAGTCATTGCAATTCTACCAGTACTCGTGCAATTAGTAGACATTATGTCCAATTCCATAAAGAATTAAAAGATGTGGCACTGACGATGCTCCTTGAGGTACTCAATTAGACAAAATTGTAAAAGTTTTTTCTAACCTTTCGTTAGCAATTTTATGTAGAGTAGGTAGTTTCCTATGTAGGCAATAAATGTTTGAATACAAAATTGCTAATGAATCTTAAGTTATTTTGTTATTTTCGTTGCTCATGCAGTCAATCAAATGCTTTATGGAAATCATACCACAGTCTAATTGCATGTCATTGAGTGACATTAAGAAATGTATAATACACGAAACGCCGACGTCCTTGAAGGAGTCGACATACGGCACGCACATCCACGAGAAGCGCGAGGAGCGCGAGTCGCGGTTCACGAGCCTGGTGAGCGACATCGTGACGCGCGGCGGCCGCTGCCTCATCCCCGTCTTCGCGCTCGGCCGCGCGCAGGAGCTGCTGCTCATTCTCGGTACGCTGCTGGCGTGGATGCCTGACTGTGCTCTACGGGGTCTATAAACCCGACCAAAGTATTGTCATTACAAAATTTTATTTATTTTTACCATCTAATGGAACTTGATGTTAATGAACAAGTGTTATTTTTTGATGACGCACTATCTCATTTTAGTTCGACCGTTTAAGATACTTATTGCTTCATTAATCTTTTCATGATATAATGCTGATATGATTCTGCCAGACGAATACTGGTCCCTCCATCCGGAGCTGCAAGACATCCCGATCTACTACGCGTCATCGCTCGCCAAGAAATGTATGGCCGTCTACCAGACGTACATCAACGCCATGAACGACCGCATACGAAGACAGATCGCCGTCAATAATCCGTTTGTCTTCAGGCATATTTCTAATCTTAAGGTTAGTAACTTTGTTTACTGCTCTTTCACATATTTGAACTAAGTGAGCTATTTTGAACTTACTATTGGATTGAACTTTGCCTTGGCGAACGCAGCTACATTCTAATATCAAAATTTGTATTTACCTCTATAAGATACTGTTTACTTATTTAAGGCCTATTTCATGTTTGTTTTCATTTGCTTCCTTAATTGGAAATTAGTTAGACAAAATGAACAAAACGTTTATAAAATATTCTTTGTATTTACTGTGATACACCAACGAATAACTTTAAATCGTACTTAAAATCTAAACATAAACACGATCAATATCATCAACTCCAATATCATCCACTAATAGCATTCTCTTCACCAATAGCAAAAACGTCAATTTCGGGTTTCACTTTATCGTACAAGTGCGGAAAAGCGCCTTCTGCATTATATTTCTTTCTTACAACTTCGTAAAGTGACAAATCGAACATAGATTCAAATTCTTTTCTTGTCATAAATATATCCGCGTAAAGAAATGAATAACCTCCAACGTTCCTAGTAAACTCTTCCATTTTTCTCATGGCTATTACCGGGTTGTAAGGCTTATTCTTCTTTACCTTACCAGGTACACCGTATACTCCCAAATCATTATACATGGCGTAATTAGTACCTGGTACTAAATACTTGGCATCAGGGCGTTTCAGTTGCCCAGACATTGGACCGTGGTCGATGATTTTACACGGATACACTAATAGAGGATATTTGTCAAATAATTCCGTTGCTACTTCAATCTGTTTTTCTAATTCTTTTATTGGTAGCACTATATCTTGAAAAACTTGTTTCGTGAACGTATATGCACGGATCCCTGGTGTCGTAGTGAACTTTAAAAATGCAGGTTTTGGGGGTAACAACCATCCAAATAAAAACCTGAATATAGGATTATTACCAAAGGACAGCATGTCTTCTACAACCCAGAATATCGCTCTATTATGTCTTAGCAAATAATCTCTCAAAGGGATCAGTTCTGTAATTTCCCCTTCACTTAAAATTGTTTCGACGTGTTTATAAAACCATGGTTTATACCATTTTGAACACTCGTTAATCGGTATATAAGGATTATTATCAGAATACTCTCCAACCATGATTACAGCTTCGTCTTTACTAAAGATGGTTCCTTCTATGTAGTCGGGAAATTCTTCAGGTTCTTTTTCGTTCGCTCCAGATAAGTCCCTAAGCATATCACAGTATTCTTTCTGTCCCTGTACAGGGATGTATCTAATTTTGATATAAGGTTTTATTTTCACAATTTTCAATGTCAACGCGACCAAAAATCCCAAACTGCCGTGCGACCATGCCAATGCCTTGTACAGGTCCGCGTATTCATTGTCTTTAGTGGCTGTGACGAGAGAGCCGTCGCCTAAAACAACTTCGTAGCTTGTGATCGTTTCGTGGTACAGGCCAGCTTTGTGTGAGTGTGTTGACATGCCCGTGCCGAATGCTAGACCTGAAATTGATTCTCGTGTTATACATATATTTGGTAATTCGTAATGATTGTATGTTGAATTGGAGTAATGTCTTCAACTCTCGCGATACTGTGTTTACAGAGGTGTAGAATATTGGGTAGTTACTACGATATTATCGTCATCGCTTATTTGTTTCGAGGGTATCGTCATGTTATGTATGTGCTCAAAATTTATGGCGGTTTTCACCTTCGGCCAACCACACTACGGTTTTGGCATAGCATACGTCTGAATGAAGTTGAAGAACCCTCAAAAACACGTCACCTCATTGAGAGATTTAAAAAAGAGCAATGATTTCTAACTTTAAAAGTACGTATCTAATTTACCTCCCAACGTAGCGTCAACTAGTTCAATGGTGACGGCGAGCGAGTACCCTCTGGGTATTAGGTACTCGGTGATATCACCGATCGTGACCATCGGCTCCACTCGCACAGTCATCGCCTTTTCGTTTAGCTCTAGGATTTCGTAAAGCGGGATTGGCACCTGAAATTCAACGCACAAGAGCATTAATTTTATTTGCATTCCATCTTCATTGATTTATACGAAGCGCTTTGTTTTCTCGTTTATAATGCATACCGGAAAGGAATGGGATGAGCACTTGTCTTCGTGGGAAAGAAAACCTACATATTGGTTTCTATCTGTGAGGTGGGCAGATATTTTTAGGGGAGGCCAGTGTTCAGTAATTTCGTGGTGACTTTTCTCCATC